TTAGGAAAGGTACAATTATAGTTATTATTATTATTAGTAGTAGTAGTAGTAGTATCCACCCACCCCTTACAAAAGTCATAGCACACCATTCCCGATAAAGCCGCACGATTTGAGCCCACTTTCAAGGGTCTGGGACGAAAGCTGCGGGACTAGTTACGCGCCGAAAAAGTGTACGGAAGAAGAAGAAGAAGAAGAAGAAGGAAGAAGAATAATAAACCACAATAGTAAGAATGGACTTTGCCTATGGCAAACCCCATTAATAATAATAATAATAATAATAATAATAATAATAATAATAATAATTCTCCAGAAAATGATGATTGCTTAGAAAAACTTATTATTTATTATTTGTTGTAAAAGAAAATCAGGGTTGAAACTCACCAAATAATGATTTCTTAACTCTTCTGAAGTTAAAACATGGTTATTGAAATTAATGTTTTATTTTATTTTTGCTTAAATGTTGTATTTTTATCAGAAGTTCACAAAATAAAACAAAAATGACATTTTACACAATCAATAATACAAATACTGTATATAATTATATAGTTTACATATTAATTACATTTTAAAATATGTTTACTAAAAAAGCAGCTATTTTACATTGAAATATTTCAGAATATCGCTGTTATTTTTTGCATTTAGAATAAAATGCAAACTTTGAGCTGTGATCAACCAAAATGGTGACACAAAGCAATAATTTTACATAATCAGCATGAATAATACTATTAATAAAGTAATAATGAAGCAGTATTATTACCACTTTTTTGTTTCATATTGCTTTTACATTATAAAACTATAAAACAAAGCATCAAATATATGAATAAAAACAATCAACAATTAAACTGATATTCCTGTTATAAGCACATCAATATTATACTTTAATTATATATGAAACTAAGTGACGCGGTTGCATAGTAGGTAGTGCTGTCGTGTCACAGTAAGAAGGTCGCTGGTTTGAGCCTCGGCAGGGTCAATTGGCGTTTCTGTGTGGAGTTTGGATGTCTCCCCACGATCGCGTGGGTTTCCTCCGGGTGCTCCGGTTCCCCCACAGTCCAAAAAGATGCAGTATAGGTGTATTGGGTTGGCTAAATTGTCTGTAGTGCATGAGTGTGAATGAGTGTGTATAGGTTTTCCAGAGATGAATTGCAGCTGGAAGGGCATCCACTGCGTAAAACATGTGCTGGATAAGTTGCAGGTTCATTCCACTGTGGCGACCCCGGATTAATTAAGAGACTAAGCCAAAGAGAAAATGAATGAATTAATGAATGAATATATGAAAGTACATTTTTCTCAAACAAACACACTGTAAAATTTGGCCTAAATTTTCTTCATAGCATTTTTTCTGATTATATGAGCAATATCACACTTATAGCAAGGTGATATGGCTGTATATCGGCACTGGTGGTAGGCGTGCGATGGCTCGAAGCCACAGGCCGAGTGCCTTAGTGTCCCACTGGTGACAATATACAGTCATTTCGCACTACTACGATTGTGATATTGGATTTATACAACAGTTCTATGGCATACCCGTGTATAAAACAGAAAATCAAACACTGAGAGTCTCATTGATCCTTTTGTAAGAGGAACTAGTTTTATTTGTGCCATTCACATCTGGAGCTCATGTCAGAAAAGCAGAAGCCGTTACTAATTCACCAACATCACTTTAGAGCGAGTGTTTGAATCATTTTTTGGCGTAATGTCTAAAGTGATGACAATCAAGTTATTTTGCTCACATTTTAGAATTATAAGGCTGAACGGCATGAAATGCCATCAGTCTACAGAAGTTTCCGAGTACTTCTCTGTTGCAATAGGGAGATCACAATAATCACTCTTGTCACTTACCCGTTTTAAAATGATTTAATCAGCTGTAGTTTGAAATACAATTACAAAACAAAGTTTTTCTCCTCTAAGGACTTATTATGCGCTCTCCGTCGCCATCTTTTGGCACAACTATCTTTGCTCTACTCAATATGACAGGCTAATGGCCGCTGATGCGCCGAATCTGAAATTACAAATATTTAAAAATAGGCACTATCCTTATAAATAAACTGCATAGTTGTAATCTAAACAACTACATTCTCGCCTTGAAAAGCCTCAAAAGTACACTATGTTGTCCAACAGCTGCATTGTTTGTCAAAATGTAGTGAATTTATTGATCTGCTATCACTCTATGTGGGCAAATAATTTTTTTTTTCTCAAATAAATTCATATAGGAAGCTGAAGGCTGTACAAGTGCTGATAAAACAGGAATATAACATGGCTATCAGCCAATCAGATTTGAGAACCAGATGTATATATATCTGGTTCTCAAAAATTTCTCATTCTCAAATTTTTTTTTCATCAAATATATTCATATAGGAAGCTATTTTAAACTAAACAATTTGGCTGTTGTTGTATTTTAGATTAAATACATGCATACTTGGTGATGAGGCTTCTTTACAAAAGCTTAAAAATCTTAACTTAATTTTAACTTTAAATGTAGTGAACTCATTTATGGCTTGTGTTTTCTGCAGATGCATCTGCTGTGCTTTTGCTTAACATCCTAACCCTCAATCGTTCTTAAGAGGTTTATTTATATTTTCCGTAAAAAATATTTTTTGGTTTAAGAAGCAAATGAATATAATTTTCCTTCGAGAACACTGCTGTGGTGCTCTGTTTTTGTAGATAAAAATAAGACTGCACAAAAAATACTTCAAGATCCAAGACTCATAATTGGATGCTTACACAATAAAACGCACTGTCCCTGCATCAATTCTCTTCATGCTAATTAATGGTAAAAAAATTACACCGTACTGCACAATTTATATGATGACTCATCTAATATTGAGAGCACATCTACGGTGTAAAAAGTATATTTTCATCGCTGCTGCCTAATTACACTGTATCCATAAAATGAACAGTTTACTAATGAATGTCTGGAAGGAGCCTACTTTGAGGGAGAGAAGAAAGTGCATTACAACTGCATACTGTATAGTTAACCTTCAAACAGTAACGAGGATATTTGCAGAAGATGAAGAATTGGAGAAAAGTGAGGTCAAGCTATTTCCGTTCTTTTCCCGCCAAGATCTAAATCATAATAATCAAAAAGTCCTTCAACATCTCACAGACTCCCTTAGGAAAGTTCAGTCTGGATGGAATGTTCAGAATAACTTTTTTTTTTTTTTTTTTTTAAGACCAGCTGACACTTTTTGGCTGGTTTATTCTAGTGTTGATTAAGTTTTTGGATTCGTCATTCAAAGGGGACATATTATGTTCCGGTTCCTAAAGCCCAAAACTAGACTATTAAATGTTCACTAACAACCAAAATGTAGACTTGTTTTAGTCAAGCTGTCAATGATTAGACAACTATTAGACAACTATTATATATACATTAAATAAAAATTAAAAGCAGTGCAACACATTTACAACGCTACTGCATCGTGGGTGTGTCAGAATTTTTAAAAATAAAAAATTATACACTTCCTATTTAACAATAAAATTAAATAATGAAAATGAAATCATTAAATTACACTTTAAAGCAGTGCAACACATTTACAATGCTGTCTACTGCATCACATGGGGTGTCAGAATGTTCAAAAATTAAAAATAAAATTAAACAATAACAAAATATGAATAAAAAAATAAAATTAATAAAATAAAAAATTAAATTAAATTAAATTAAATTAAATTAAATTAAATTAAATTAAATTAAATTAAATTAAATTAAATTAAATGCAAAATAGTTACAACCCTGCTTACTGCATCGCGGGGGTGTCTGTATGTTCGAAAATCCCAAATTTTACACGTTGTATTTAAATATAAACTGAAAAAATCAACTGAAATAAATATAGAAAATAAATCAAATACAAATTTATATGATTTTTAAGCAGTGCAACACAATTATAACCCCGCCTATCGTTCGAAAATCCCAAATTTACACTTTGTGTTTAAAAATAAAATGAAATAAATAATACAACTTTAAAGCAGAAAATGTTTGATTTAAAATTAAAATAAATAAAATAATTAAATGTGTTTAGCAGCGCAACACATTTACAACCCCACCTACTGGATCGCAGGGGTGTCAAAGTGTAAAAAATAAAAATAAATCTTCATTACATTTTTTTTATCGGGGCGACACGGTTGAGCAGTGGGTAGCGCTGTCGCCTCACAGCAAAAAGGTCACTGGTTCGAGCCTCGGCTGGGTCAGTTGGTATTTCTGTGTGAAGCTTGCATGTTCTCTCAGTGTTGACGTGGGCTTTCTCAGTGTCCCAGTTTTCCCCACAAGTCCAAAGACATGTGGTACAGGTGAATTGGGTAACTTAAACTGGCCATAGTGTATGTGTGTGAATAAGTGTGTATGGATGTTTCCAAGTTCTGGGTTGCGGCTGGCCGGGCATCCACTACGTAAAACATATGCTGAATAAGTTAGCGGTTCATTCCACTGTGGCAACCCCAGAGTCGACAGTATGCCGTCACTTTAGCCTTTTAAAACTTTGTTTTGCCCTCCATTGAAGACCGAAAAATAACTTTGTTTAAAGTATACCAGGGCTATTAAACTTCTTTTTAACACAAATGCGGCTTACTGGAATTTATCTGAAAGATAAATTCTGGAACACTGTATCTGCATTACATAAACAGTACTCTTTGAAGACCGCCATATGACGTCTAATAATACTGTCTCACTAGAATGCTCATTAGGTCTTGAAGCAGAACTAACATCTGTTGATGCCCATCTCCAGCAGTGTGTTTTGTTTTTATGGTGTGTAACATTACTCACTCTGAGGAAACTTGGGTGGGTTGTCGTTGACGTCAGTTAGGGTGATGTTGACCGTGGTGGAGCCCGACAGTCCTCCCACCTGCCCTGCCATGTCTTTGGCTTGAATTACCACTGAGTAATGTTCTCTCGCCTCTCGATCCATGTCTGCCAGAGCTGTTCTGATGATACCTGCAAAACACAAACATATGTACAAACATATGCTCAGAGTAATGTACATAATCTGCACTGTAAGTGCAGCGTTTAAAGCAACAGGCTGCAAACAACCCTATCCCTGTGTCCTTCAGTCCTTTTCAGTCCAGTTTGGTAACACAAACCAATATTTTAAATAGGGACCTGTTATGCCCATATTTACAACATATTGTCACCATCCTGCACTTTGTCTCCATTCCCCTAGAGGTCTCAGTGTTTCCCCTCTACCTTTGTTCTTCCTCGTGTGTTCTTGTTTACTTAATTTTAATCACCTGTGACTTGTTCCAGCCTGTGTATTTAAGTTGTCACTTTGTCTGTGTTCCTCACTTATTTAAGTCGTCTCTGAAGAACTTGCCTTGTATTCCCTTGATCTCCTGAGTTACGTCTAGTTAGTGGTGGTCAAAGCGAGGCTTCATGCAACCCTGAAACAGTCGAAGCAAATGTGTGTTTTGTTCCAAAAGCAGTGACAAAATTTGCGTTAATATATAAAACTTTCACCTAAATGGATCAATGGTTTTATACTTTCTACATTAGTTTCCCATCGAATCACAACCAATCAAATGCTCACTAGTATACGACATGCTCCGCCCCCTTCAATACGCTTCTCATTTGCTTTTCATTTGATGCACTTGAGCTCATCCACTCTCACAGACAGGGCGGTGATAAAACAACGCTATTAACAGTTTTTTTTAAAGGGGAGGAGCTACTCTATGTCCGGCCCATTCGTTGTGTTTCGGTTGAGATCACATCGAACATGGAATACAAATGCATATTTAAAAGCACTTCACGTGACCTCCAAATATAATTTGTACACAAATCTACATTTAATCAAAAAGCCTTGAATAAATGCCCTCATTCACACACCAGTGTCTGATTTCATCATGTAGCTGTGTACCACAGGATAACAATTGTGTGCAGCAGTGACTGTTTTGCAAGGCTCGTTAAAATAAAGCAGGTAAGTGCTGTTGTGTCTGTAAGGTTTATCCTCTGCCAAGGTCAGTTTTCTGTTTGCTTTTCACTATCATTTAAATGACAACAAAACCTTGAAGCACTGGTGAAATGAATCATAGTCTACACACACATACATACACACACTCACAGATACACACAATTTTACTATATGACATTTAAGTTTAATGTAATGCCTTGAATATTTTAACCTCCAGCTTACATACCAAATGTATTAATTATATATATATATATATATATATATATAGCATTAAATTTTGTAAAAAAAATAATGAAGTGTTTTTCTGGCATC